TTGAGCCATACTGCTTCTTTGGTTGCTTCGGAAAGCGCCATGTATTCTGCTTCTGTTGAAGATAGCGCGACCGTCCGTTGTTTCTGGCTTTTCCAGCTGATGCATCCTCCGCTCATCATGAACACATAGCCGCTTGTACTTCGTCTTGACTCAATGTCGCCGGCCCAGTCTGCGTCGGTGTACCCGCAGATACGGCTTCCTTCTTCACGTGTAAACTCAAGACCATGATTGGGCGTTGCTTGCAGGTATCTCAGCACACGCTTCAAAGCTTGCCAGTGAGTCGGGCATGGGTCGGACGAGAACTGGGATAATGATCCCACTGCAGCAGCTAGATCCGGACGTGTGGCGACCATGAGATACATGATGCCTCCGACAGCACTTCGATATGGCACGTTGCACATGGTGTCTTCGTGCTTGCATTCTTGTTCACACATGTTCTTGGTTAGCTTCAGGCCGGGATCTTGAGGCGTCTTCACTGGCTTGCTGTTATCCATTCCGAACTTGGTTAACACGGACTTGAGAAACTTGGTTTGTTGTACAGTCACCATTCCCGTCTTACGGTCGTTCTTGATCTCCATGCCGAGAAAGTAATCGAGCTCACCGAGATCCGTCATTTCGAAGCGTTTGCTCAGCGCCATCTTGGTTGACTTGAGGAGTTCGTTGTTGCTGCTGGCCAGGATGAGATCATCGACGTAGAGTACCACGAGAATCATGTCTTGGTCGTCTCGCTTGATGTAGATGCAGTGGTCCGATTCGCACTTCTTGAATCCCATCTTGATCATGAACCCATCGATTGTTTGGTTCCACATGCGAGGCGATTGCTTCAAGCCGTAGAGTGATCTCTTTAGCTTGCACACATAGTCCGGCTGTGTTGCATCCAGGTATCCGTCCGGCTGGTCCATGTAGATGTCTTCGTTGAGGGAGCCGTTAAGAAACGCTGTCTTGACGTCCATCTGATGTAGCATTAGGCCGTACTTAGCCGCCATACTGAGCACCACACGAATCGATGTGAACTTGGCCACCGGTGCGAAAGTTTCTTCATAGTCAACTCCGAATTTCTGTGAGAATCCTTTGGCCACAAGTCTTGCCTTGAAACGTTCAACTTCGCCATCTTGATTCTCCTTTACACGAAAAACCCATCGGCACCCGATGGCCTTGCGACCTTTCGGAAGAGGCACGATTTCCCACGTGTCGTTTCTCTGAAGCGAGTCGAACTCCGAGTCACACGCTTCTTTCCACTTGCCGGAGTCGCTTGATTCCATCGCCGACTTGAATGTAGTCGGCGTTTCCCCCACTGAATCAACGATGTAGGCTGCTTCAAAATCCATTGCAGCCGCTGACACATGCTCAAGCGACGGACCTCTGTATGTTCTTCGCTTGGGACTTGGAATGACGGTAGCTTTCTCAAGTGATTGAGTGCGCGTGTGTCTCTTGATGTTGCTCTTCGAAGACCTGGTGTCTTCGTTGTCATCGTCGCTCGAGTCCATGTCGTCGTCAGTTTTACCTTCTTCTTTTTCTTCGTCCTCATCATGATCATCAAACTCAACGACACTTGACTCATCGTTGTAGTTGCGCGGACCTTCATCAAACTTGTCTTCCATGAATGTGGCATCGCGACTGATCTTGATCGCTCCTGTTGACACTTCCTCAAATCGATATGACTTCTGGTGTTCGGCGTATCCCAGGAAACGACAGAGTGATGACTTGGAGTCGAACTTCGCGCGTTTGTCTTGAGGCACTTGAACATACGCGTGGCATCCAAACACTTTAAGGTTGGCCAGAATCGGTTTCTTCATCGTCCACACTTGATATGGAGACTTGTCTTGGTGAATGGCACGTGTTGGACAGCGGTTTCGAAGAAACATCGCCGTCATCACTGCTTCACCCCAGTAGCTCTTTCCCAGTCCAGCGTGTTCCATCATGCAACGCGCACACTCGACCAGCGTGCGATTCATTCTCTCAGCTACTCCGTTTAGCTGAGGAGTATATGGGGGTGTGAACCTTTGTTGTATTCCCCGTTCCGCGCAGAATCGTGCCAGCTTGTCGGACTTGTATTCACCCCCATTGTCGCTTTGAAGGTACTTCACGCGCTTTCCGGTTTGCGTTTCGGCCATCGCAGCGTATTCCATGAACTTCGCCGCAACTTCAGATTTGCTCTTGAGCAGATAGACGACACAGTATCTTGACTTGTCATCAATGAATGTCACGAAGTACCGTTTTCCACTGAAAGTTGCCATCGACATCGGTCCGCATACGTCGCTGTGAATCACTTCGAGGAGTTTGGAGGTGCGAGCTGTAGTGTTTGATTGGAAGCGCACTCGAGTCTGTTTTCCCAGAGCACAACCTTCACACACGTCCCACTTCTTCACCGAAGATATGTCGATGCCAATTCCAATGTTCTTCGTCACGATGCAATTGAGTCCATCGTGACCTATGTGGCCAAGCCGAAGGTGCCAGAGGTACGACTTGGTGCCCCCTTGACATCCCGACGACTTGGCTGCATTTGCTTGTTCCGGCGCCACTGGAGTCATTTGCAGCTTGAACAGTCCTTTACCTTCACGGGCACCAATTTTCCACTTGGTCCCTTTCGCTTCTCCATAGCACCCATCCTTCGTGAACGTCACTGGGCCGACATCCTTGGTGAAGCGGCCGACCGAGAACAGGTTTCTGGATAACTTTGGGATGTGCCACACGTTTGTGAGCACACCTTTCTTCATCCCTTGGGGTGTCTTCATCGACATGACAATGTCCCCACTGCCGATTGCTTGGACGATTCCATCATCCGCGAGATGGACATCCACAGCGTCAAACCCCTTGTAGTTCCGCATGAACTTCTTGGAGCACGTCATGTGCTGCGTCGCCCCGGAGTCGACCAGCCAGATGTCGCTCGATTTCGCAGATGTCGTTTCACCGATCGAAAAGAGGTAGTCGCCCGAGTCTTCTTCTTGAGCGACGTTTGCACGTTGTGATCGATAGCGGTCGCCGCTGTCTTGAGCACGCTGTGGCCGGTGTCTCTCCGTGTTTTCTTGGATGCGCGAGGGGCACTCCGCCATCCAGTGACCAATCTTTCCGCAATTGTGGCACGGCCAGGACTTCTTCACTGGTCGCCCTTTGCGCTGATTGTCCCTTGTGATGAACGCTTGACCTTGCGAAGCTTCATCACCTTTACTTCCTTGCTCCTTCCGCTTCATTTCTTCATGAAGCAGTCGAGACGTCACGAGCTCCCAGCTAAGAGTGTCTGAGCGCGACTCCAAAGCTGTGATCAAGAATTGATACGAGTCACTCAGGCTGCCGAGGAGTGTGATCACCAGATCGTCCTCGCAGACTGGAGCCCCCACCGCTTCTAGCTGTTCCGCCAGCGTCTTGAGCTTGTTGATGTGTTCGAGCACATCGTCGCCTTCTTCCATCATTGTCGTGAAGAAGCGACGGCGCAAGAACAGCTTGTTGGCAAGACTCTTCTTCTCGAAGTGGTCTTCCAACCTTGACCATGCGTCGCATGCACCACTTGCCGACCGGACCAACGGTAGCTGGGAATCTTCCATGGCTAGACAGATCACTGCCATCGCCTTTCTTGACTTCCTCTTGTACGTCGCTTGGTCCAACTGAGTCTCGCACTGTTCCGCCTTGATCTCACCGCTGACGACCTCCCATAGGTCCCGTTCCTCCAGCACCATCTGCATCTTGAACTTCCAGGCGTGGAAGTTAGTTCCATCGAACTTGGAGATGCGGAGGGAGGAGGCGTCCATGGCAGCTAAGCTTGAATTGTTGGCGGTTTCAGAGTCTGACGAACTTGGGCTCATAACCTGATGAACTTTAGACTTCTTGGTCCGAGTGCAAAACGCAAAGTGAATATATATTTATAATAGGTACTTAGTTCGCAACTTTGAATACTACCTCTAAGCCTATTATTCGCAGTGACGTCATCCAGTGACGTCACCCACTGACGTCACCCACTGACGTCATGCAATGACGTCATCCAGTGACGTCATTTCCTGACTTCGCCCTTACTGGTACATACCGGTACCCACCGGTATAGCGAGGCTTGGTCTTCCACTTGCTTCAACACTTGACGCAGCTTGACGAGGTGTCTTCTTTACAGCCGCTGTCTTTTCAACACGGAGTAGCTGAGAGAATGAATCGCACGCTGGTCGAGTGTGCGCGTTGCATGATGGAACACGCTGGACTGGGAAAGAGCTACTGGGGTGAAGCAGTGATGACGGCGATGTTTCTTCGAAACCGCTGTCCAACACGTGTCATTCACCAAGACAAGTCTCCATATCAAGTGTGGACGATGAAGAAACCGATTCTGGCCAACCTTAAAGTGTTTGGATGCCACGCGTATGTTCAAGTGCCTCAAGACAAACGCGCGAAGTTCGACTCCAAGTCATCACTCTGTCGTTTCCTGGGATACGCCGAACACCAGAAGTCATATCGATTTGAGGAAGTGTCAACAGGAGCGATCAAGATCAGTCGCGATGCCACATTCATGGAAGACAAGTTTGATGAAGGTCCGCGCAACTACAACGATGAGTCAAGTGTCGTTGAGTTTGATGATCATGACGAGGACGAAGAAAAAGAAGAAGGTAAAACTGACGACGACATGGACTCGAGCGACGATGACAACGAAGACACCAGGTCTTCGAAGAGCAACATCAAGAGACACACGCGCACTCAATCACTTGAGAAAGCTACCGTCATTCCAAGTCCCAAGCGAAGAACATACAGAGGTCCGTCGCTTGAGCATGTGTCAGCGGCTGCAATGGATTTTGAAGCAGCCTGCATCGTTGATTCAGTGGGGGATGATGAACTTTAGACTTCTTGGTCCGAGTGCAAAACGCAAAGTGAATATATATTTATAATAGGTACTTAGTTCGCAACTTTGAATACTACCTCTAAGCCTATTATTCGCAGTGACGTCATCCAGTGACGTCATCCAGTGACGTCACCCACTGAAGTCACCCACTGACGTCATCCAATGACGTCATTTCCTGACTTCGCCCTTACTGGTACATACCGGTACCCACCGGTATAGCGAAGCTTGGTCTTCCACTTGCTTCAACACTTGACGCAGCTTGACGAGGTGTCTTCTTCACAGCCGCTGTCTTTTCAACACTCCCTCTCGACTCGTTAGCTGCGGTACCTTGGATCCCAAGTCGATCGCGAATGTTTTCAAATTGTACAGCGGCGATCGGCTTGGTCATCATGTCTGCCAGCATATCTTGAGTCGGGCAATTCTCCAAAACGACTTCACCTGATTCCACCTTCTCACGCACAAAATGGTAGCGTATGTCGATGTGTTTTGTTCTCTTATGGAACTCCGGGTTCTTGGCGAGAGCGATTGATCCTTGGTTGTCTTCATACACCTTGATCGCTTCGTCGCTTGTCATCTCACCAAGTTCCCCCAAAAGCACCTTGAGCCATACTGCTTCTTTGGTTGCTTCGGAAAGCGCCATGTATTCTGCTTCTGTTGAAGATAGCGCGACCGTCCGTTGTTTCTGGCTTTTCCAGCTGATGCATCCTCCGTTCATCATGAACACATAGCCGCTTGTACTTCGTCTTGACTCAATGTCGCCGGCCCAGTCTGCGTCGGTGTACCCGCAGATACGGCTTCCTTCTTCACGTGTAAACTCAAGACCATGATTGGGCGTTGCTTGCAGGTATCTCAGCACACTCTTCAAAGCTTGCCAGTGAGTCGGGCATGGGTCGGACGAGAACTGGGATAATGATCCCACTGCAGCAGCTAGATCCGGACGTGTGGCGACCATGAGATACATGATGCCTCCGACAGCACTTCGATATGGCACGTTGCATATGGTGTCTTCGTGCTTGCATTCTTGTTCACACATGTTCTTGGTTAGCTTCAGGCCGGGATCTTGAGGCGTCTTCACTGGCTTGCTGTTATCCATTCCGAACTTGGTCAACACGGACTTGAGAAACTTGGTTTGTTGCACAGTCACCATTCCCGTCTTACGGTCGTTCTTGATCTCCATGCCGAGAAAGTAATCGAGCTCACCGAGATCCGTCATTTCGAAGCGTTTGCTCAGCGCCATCTTGGTCGACTTGAGGAGTTCGTTGTTGCTGCTGGCCAGGATGAGATCATCGACGTAGAGCACCACGAGAATCATGTCTTGGTCGTCTCGCTTGATGTAGATGCAGTGGTCCGATTCGCACTTCTTGAATCCCATCTTGATCATGAACCCATCGATTGTTTGGTTCCACATGCGAGGCGATTGCTTCAAGCCGTAGAGTGATCTCTTTAGCTTGCACACATAGTCTGGCTGTGTTGCATCCAGGTATCCGTCCGGCTGGTCCATGTAGATGTCTTCGTTGAGGGAGCCGTTAAGAAACGCTGTCTTGACGTCCATCTGATGTAGCATTAGGCCGTACTTAGCGGCCATACTGAGCACCACACGAATCGATGTGAACTTGGCCACCGGTGCGAAAGTTTCTTCATAGTCAACTCCGAATTTCTGTGAGAATCCTTTGGCCACAAGTCTTGCCTTGAAACGTTCAACTTCGCCATCTTGATTCTCCTTTACACGAAAAACCCATCGGCACCCGATGGCCTTGCGACCTTTCGGAAGAGGCACGATTTCCCACGTGTCGTTTCTCTGAAGCGAATCGAACTCCGAGTCACACGCTTCTTTCCACTTGCCGGAGTCGCTTGATTCCATCGCCGACTTGAATGTAGTCGGCGTTTCCCCCACTGAATCAACGATGTAGGCTGCTTCAAAATCCATTGCAGCCGCTGACACATGCTCAAGCGACGGACCTCTGTATGTTCTTCGCTTGGGACTTGGAATGACGGTAGCTTTCTCAAGTGATTGAGTGCGCGTGTGTCTCTTGATGTTGCTCTTCGAAGACCTGGTGTCTTCGTTGTCATCGTCGCTCGAGTCCATGTCGTCGTCAGTTTTACCTTCTTCTTTTTCTTCGTCCTCATCATGATCATCAAACTCAACGACACTTGACTCATCGTTGTAGTTGCGCGGACCTTCATCAAACTTGTCTTCCATGAATGTGGCATCGCGACTGATCTTGATCGCTCCTGTTGACACTTCCTCAAATCGATATGACTTCTGGTGTTCGGCGTATCCCAGGAAACGACAGAGTGATGACTTGGAGTCGAACTTCGCGCGTTTGTCTTGAGGCACTTGAACATACGCGTGGCATCCAATGATGAACTTTAGACTTCTTGGTCCGAGTGCAAAACGCAAAGTAAATATATATTTATAATAGGTACTTAGTTCGCAACTTTGAATACTACCTCTAAGCCTATTATTCGCAGTGACGTCATCCAGTGACGTCACCCACTGACGTCATCCAGTGACGTCACCCACTGACGTCATCCAGTGACGTCACCCACTGACGTCACCCACTGACGTCATGCAATGACGTCATCCAGTGACGTCATTTCCTGACTTCGCCCTTACTGGTACATGTTGAAATGACAGCGGCTGTGAAGAAGACACCTCGTCAAGCTGCGTCAAGTGTTGAAGCAAGTGGAAGACCAAGCTTCGCTATACCGGTGGGTACCGGTATGTACCAGTAAGGGCGAAGTCAGGAAATGACGTCACTGGATGACGTCACTGCGAATAATAGGCTTAGAGGTAGTATTCAAAGTTGCGAACTAAGTACCTATTATAAATATATATTCACTTTGCGTTTTGCACTCGGACCAAGAAGTCTAAAGTTCATCAGGTTATGAGCCCAAGTTCGTCAGACTCTGAAACCGCCAACAATTCAAGCTTAGCTGCCATGGACGCCTCCTCCCTCCGCATCTCCAAGTTCGATGGAACTAACTTCCACGCCTGGAAGTTCAAGATGCAGATGGTGCTGGAGGAACGGGACCTATGGGAGGTCGTCAGCGGTGAGATCAAGGCGGAACAGTGCGAGACTCAGTTGGACCAAGCGACGTACAAGAGGAAGTCAAGAAAGGCGATGGCAGTGATCTGTCTAGCCATGGAAGATTCCCAGCTACCGTTGGTCCGGTCGGCAAGTGGTGCATGCGACGCATGGTCAAGGTTGGAAGACCACTTCGAGAAGAAGAGTCTTGCCAACAAGCTGTTCTTGCGCCGTCGCTTCTTCACGACAATGATGGAAGAAGGCGACGATGTGCTCGAACACATCAACAAGCTCAAGACGCTGGCGGAACAGCTAGAAGCGGTGGGGGCTCCAGTCTGCGAGGACGATCTGGTGATCACACTTCTCGGCAGCCTGAGTGACTCGTATCAATTCTTGATCACAGCTTTGGAGTCGCGCTCAGACACTCTTAGCTGGGAGCTCGTGACGTCTCGACTGCTTCATGAAGAAATGAAGCGGAAGGAGCAAGGAAGTAAAGGTGATGAAGCTTCGCAAGGTCAAGCGTTCATCACAAGGGACAATCAGCGCAAAGGGCGACCAGTGAAGAAGTCCTGGCCGTGACACAATTGCGGAAAGATTGGTTACTGGATGGCGGAGTGCCCCTCGCGCATCCAAGAAAACACGGAGAGACACCGGCCACAGCGTGCTCAAGACAGCGGCGACCGCTATCGATCACAACGTGCAAACGTCGCTCAAGAAGAAGACTCGGGCGACTACCTCTTTTCGATCGGTGAAACGACATCTGCGAAATCGAGCGACATCTGGCTGGTCGACTCCGGGGCGACGCAGCACATGACGTGCTCCAAGAAGTTCATGCGGAACTACAAGGGGTTTGACGCTGTGGATGTCCATCTCGCGGATGATGGAATCGTCCAAGCAATCGGCAGTGGGGACATTGTCATGTCGATGAAGACACCCCAAGGGATGAAGAAAGGTGTGCTCACAAACGTGTGGCACATCCCAAAGTTATCCAGAAACCTGTTCTCGGTCGGCCGCTTCACCAAGGATGTCGGCCCAGTGACGTTCACGAAGGATGGGTGCTATGGAGAAGCGAAAGGGACCAAGTGGAAAATTGGTGCCCGTGAAGGTAAAGGACTGTTCAAGCTGCAAATGACTAATGACTCCAGTGGCGCCGGAACAAGCAAATGCAGCCAAGTCGTCGGGATGTCAAGGGGGCACCAAGTCGTACCTCTGGCACCTTCGGCTTGGCCACATAGGTCACGATGGACTCAATTGCATCGTGACGAAGAACATTGGAATTGGCATCGACATATCTTCGGTGAAGAAGTGGGACGTGTGTGAAGGTTGTGCTCTGGGAAAACAGACTCGAGTGCGCTTCCAATCAAACACTACAGCTCGCACCTCCAAACTCCTCGAAGTGATTCACAGCGACGTATGCGGACCGATGTCGATGGCAACTTTCAGTGGAAAACGGTACTTCGTGACATTCATTGATGACAAGTCAAGATACTGTGTCGTCTATCTGCTCAAGAGCAAATCTGAAGTTGCGGCGAAGTTCATGGAATACGCTGCGATGGCCGAAACGCAAACCGGAAAGCGCGTGAAGTACCTTCAAAGCGACAATGGGGGTGAATACAAGTCCGACAAGCTGGCACGATTCTGCGCGGAACGGGGAATACAACAAAGGTTCACCCCCCCCATATACTCCTCAGCTAAACGGAGTAGCTGAGAGAATGAATCGCACGCTGGTCGAGTGTGCGCGTTGCATGATGGAACACGCTGGACTGGGAAAGAGCTACTGGGGTGAAGCAGTGATGACGGCGATGTTTCTTCGAAACCGCTGTCCAACACGTGCCATTCACCAAGACAAGTCTCCATATCAAGTGTGGACGATGAAGAAACCGATTCTGGCCAACCTTAAAGTGTTTGGATGCCACGCGTATGTTCAAGTGCCTCAAGACAAACGCGCGAAGTTCGACTCCAAGTCATCACTCTGTCGTTTCCTGGGATACGCCGAACACCAGAAGTCATATCGATTTGAGGAAGTGTCAACAGGAGCGATCAAGATCAGTCGCGATGCCACATTCATGGAAGACAAGTTTGATGAAGGTCCGCGCAACTACAACGATGAGTCAAGTGTCGTTGAGTTTGATGATCATGATGAGGACGAAGAAAAAGAAGAAGGTAAAACTGACGACGACATGGACTCGAGCGACGATGACAACGAAGACACCAGGTCTTCGAAGAGCAACATCAAGAGACACACGCGCACTCAATCACTTGAGAAAGCTACCGTCATTCCAAGTCCCAAGCGAAGAACATACAGAGGTCCGTCGCTTGAGCATGTGTCAGCGGCTGCAATGGATTTTGAAGCAGCCTACATCGTTGATTCAGTGGGGGAAACGCCGACTACATTCAAGTCGGCGATGGAATCAAGCGACTCCGGCAAGTGGAAAGAAGCGTGTGACTCGGAGTTCGATTCGCTTCAGAGAAACGACACGTGGGAAATCGTGCCTCTTCCGAAAGGTCGCAAGGCCATCGGGTGCCGATGGGTTTTTCGTGTAAAGGAGAATCAAGATGGCGAAGTTGAACGTTTCAAGGCAAGACTTGTGGCCAAAGGATTCTCACAGAAATTCGGAGTTGACTATGAAGAAACTTTCGCACCGGTGGCCAAGTTCACATCGATTCGTGTGGTGCTCAGTATGGCGGCTAAGTACGGCCTAATGCTACATCAGATGGACGTCAAGACAGCGTTTCTTAACGGCTCCCTCAACGAAGACATCTACATGGACCAGCCGGACGGATACCTGGATGCAACACAGCCGGACTATGTGTGCAAGCTAAAGAGATCACTCTACGGCTTGAAGCAATCGCCTCGCATGTGGAACCAAACAATCGATGGGTTCATGATCAAGATGGGATTCAAGAAGTGCGAATCGGACCACTGCATCTACATCAAGCGAGACGACCAAGACATGATTCTCGTGGTGCTCTACGTCGATGATCTCATCCTGGCCAGCAGCAACAACGAACTCCTCAAGTCAACCAAGATGGCGCTGAGCAAACGCTTCGAAATGACGGATCTCGGTGAGCTCGATTACTTTCTCGGCATGGAGATCAAGAACGACCGTAAGACGGGAATGGTGACTGTACAACAAACCAAGTTTCTCAAGTCCGTGTTAACCAAGTTCGGAATGGATAACAGCAAGCCAGTGAAGACGCCTCAAGATCCCGGCCTGAAGCTAACCAAGAACATGTGTGAACAAGAATGCAAGCACGAAGACACCATGTGCAACGTGCCATATCGAAGTGCTGTCGGAGGCATCATGTATCTCATGGTCGCCACACGTCCGGATCTAGCTGCTGCAGTGGGATCATTATCCCAGTTCTCGTCCGACCCATGCCCGACTCACTGGCAAGCTTTGAAGCGTGTGCTGAGATACCTGCAAGCAACGCCCAATCATGGTCTTGAGTTTACACGTGAAGAAGGAAGCCGTATCTGCGGGTACACCGACGCAGACTGGGCCGGCGACATTGAGTCAAGACGAAGTACAAGCGGCTATGTGTTCATGATGAGCGGAGGATGCATCAGCTGGAAAAGCCAGAAACAACGGACGGTCGCGCTATCTTCAACAGAAGCAGAATACATGGCGCTTTCCGAAGCAACCAAAGAAGCAGTATGGCTCAAAGTGCTTTTGGGGGAACTTGGTGAGATGACAAGCGACGAAGCGATCAAGATGTATGAAGACAACCAAGGATCAATCGCTCTCGCCAAGAACCCGGAGTTCCATAAGAGAACAAAACACATCGACATACGCTACCATTTTGTGCGTGAGAAGGTGGAATCAGGTGAAGTCGTTTTGGAGTATTGCCCGACTCAAGATATGCTGGCAGACATGATGACCAAGCCGATCGCCGCTGTACAATTTGAAAACATTCGCGATCGACTTGGGATCCAAGGTGCCGCAGCTAACGAGTCGAGAGGGAGTGTTGAAAAGACAGCGGCTGTGAAGAAGACACCTCGTCAAGCTGCGTCAAGTGTTGAAGCAAGTGGAAGACCAAGCTTCGCTATACCGGTGGGTACCGGTATGTACCAGTAAGGGCGAAGTCAGGAAATGACGTCACTGGATGACGTCATTGCATGACGTCAGTGGGTGACGTCAGTGGGTGACGTCACTGGATGACGTCACTGCGAATAATAGGCTTAGAGGTAGTATTCAAAGTTGCGAACTAAGTACCTATTATAAATATATATTCACTTTGCGTTTTGCACTCGGACCAAGAAGTCTAAAGTTCATCAGTACATACCGGTACCCACCGGTATAGCGAAGCTTGGTCTTCCACTTGCTTCAACACTTGACGCAGCTTGACGAGGTGTCTTCTTCACAGCCGCTGTCTTTTCAACACTCTTTTCAACACTCCCTCTCGACTCGTTAGCTGCGGCACCTTGGATCCCAAGTCGATCGCGAATGTTTTCAAATTGTACAGCGGCGATCGGCTTGGTCATCATGTCTGCCAGCATATCTTGAGTCGGGCAATACTCCAAAACGACTTCACCTGATTCCACCTTCTCACGCACAAAATGGTAGCGTATGTCGATGTGTTTTGTTCTCTTATGGAACTCCGGGTTCTTGGCGAGAGCGATTGATCCTTGGTTGTCTTCATACATCTTGATCGCTTCGTCGCTTGTCATCTCACCAAGTTCCCCCAAAAGCACTTTGAGCCATACTGCTTCTTTGGTTGCTTCGGAAAGCGCCATGTATTCTGCTTCTGTTGAAGATAGCGCGACCGTCCGTTGTTTCTGGCTTTTCCAGCTGATGCATCCTCCGCTCATCATGAACACATAGCCGCTTGTACTTCGTCTTGACTCAATGTCGCCGGCCCAGTCTGCGTCGGTGTACCCGCAGATACGGCTTCCTTCTTCACGTGTAAACTCAAGACCATGATTGGGCGTTGCTTGCAGGTATCTCAGCACACGCTTCAAAGCTTGCCAGTGAGTCGGGCATGGGTCGGACGAGAACTGGGATAATGATCCCACTGCAGCAGCTAGATCCGGACGTGTGGCGACCATGAGATACATGATGCCTCCGACAGCACTTCGATATGGCACGTTGCACATGGTGTCTTCGTGCTTGCATTCTTGTTCACACATGTTCTTGGTTAGCTTCAGGCCGGGATCTTGAGGCGTCTTCACTGGCTTGCTGTTATCCATTCCGAACTTGGTTAACACGGACTTGAGAAACTTGGTTTGTTGTACAGTCACCATTCCCGTCTTACGGTCGTTCTTGATCTCCATGCCGAGAAAGTAATCGAGCTCACCGAGATCCGTCATTTCGAAGCGTTTGCTCAGCGCCATCTTGGTTGACTTGAGGAGTTCGTTGTTGCTGCTGGCCAGGATGAGATCATCGACGTAGAGCACCACGAGAATCATGTCTTGGTCGTCTCGCTTGATGTAGATGCAGTGGTCCGATTCGCACTTCTTGAATCCCATCTTGATCATGAACCCATCGATTGTTTGGTTCCACATGCGAGGCGATTGCTTCAAGCCGTAGAGTGATCTCTTTAGCTTGCACACATAGTCCGGCTGTGTTGCATCCAGGTATCCGTCCGGCTGGTCCATGTAGATGTCTTCGTTGAGGGAGCCGTTAAGAAACGCTGTCTTGACGTCCATCTGATGTAGCATTAGGCCGTACTTGGCCGCCATACTGAGCACCACACGAATCGATGTGAACTTGGCCACCGGTGCGAAAGTTTCTTCATAGTCAACTCCGAATTTCTGTGAGAATCCTTTGGCCACAAGTCTTGCCTTGAAACGTTCAACTTCGCCATCTTGATTCTCCTTTACACGAAAAACCCATCGGCACCCGATGGCCTTGCGACCTTCGGAAGAGGCACGATTTCCCACGTGTCGTTTCTCTGAAGCGAATCGAACTCCGAGTCACACGCTTCTTTCCACTTGCCGGAGTCGCTTGATTCCATCGCCGACTTGAATGTAGTCGGCGTTTCCCCCACTGAATCAACGATGTAGGCTGCTTCAAAATCCATTGCAGCCGCTGACACATGCTCAAGCGACGGACCTCTGTATGTTCTTCGCTTG